TGCATCATTACTGACAAAAAGTATTCGACAGAAACTTACCGACAGAAAGTTACTAGGAAGAGCGGCAAATTCAAATGGTCAAATTAAATTCGAATGAATATATACATAATTTAATGTAGTTTTTTTATTTTAAATCAAGTATAGTATTTTAAATAATTAAATACCGATATTAAATAATTAATGTTTATTATAAAAATTGACATATAGACATGAAAATTTTTTCATTTTTAGCATTTAAATCTGTGAAATAATGAAATATTGTAATTTTATTTTTTAATTTCATAAAATTTTTATTTTTTATTAATTATTAATAATTAAATTTTTTTCATAAAAATAAAAATGTACTGCAAAGAATATGTTTTATGCATTGAAAAATAAAAATTTGTTAAAATATATTATTTCTATATTTTGTAAATAAAGTTATTTATTAAAATAATTTTTTTATTTATAAAATTGAAATAGATTAAAAAATTAATGTTTTAAATTAAAAATTTTTTATTTGAATTAATATATGTAATTAACTATTATGAAAATTAATTAGTCGTTAAATTTTTTTTTTTTTTTTAATAATAACTAATCTTTTTTTACCTATAAACAAATTTAATTTTATTTTGAACAAAATTATATTTTTAATGATAAAAACTTTGTTATTTTACATAGAGACGAATAATATTATACTTTTTTTATTTGTGAGTGAGAAGTGACCAAAACCAAATAATTGTAAATCATCGTAAAAATATTTTAAAAGGGATAGAAACAATAATACATTTTAAAATTATACAACACAAGAATACTCGCAAATGCGATTGTAAAACGAAAAGTACGAAAGTAATATAATGACAGCTGCGACATTGTGCTCCCTGCATGCTTCTGCCACCTAACGGCTGCAGGACGTAATAAACCTAAAATTATATTACTTTCGTACTTTTCGTTTTACAATCGCATTTGCGAGTATTCTTGTGTTGTATAATTTTAAAATGTATTATTGTTTCTATCCCTTTTAAAATATTTTTACGATGATTTACAATTATTTGGTTTTGGTCACTTCTCACTCACAAATAAAAAAAGTATAATATTATTCGTCTCTATGTAAAATAACAAAGTTTTTATCATTAAAAATATAATTTTGTTCAAAATAAAATTAAATTTGTTTATAGGTAAAAAAAGATTAGTTATTATTAAAAAAAAAAAAAAAATTTAACGACTAATTAATTTTCATAATAGTTAATTACATATATTAATTCAAATAAAAAATTTTTAATTTAAAACATTAATTTTTTAATCTATTTCAATTTTATAAATAAAAAAATTATTTTAATAAATAACTTTATTTACAAAATATAGAAATAATATATTTTAACAAATTTTTATTTTTCAATGCATAAAACATATTCTTTGCAGTACATTTTTATTTTTATGAAAAAAATTTAATTATTAATAATTAATAAAAAATAAAAATTTTATGAAATTAAAAAATAAAATTACAATATTTCATTATTTCACAGATTTAAATGCTAAAAATGAAAAAATTTTCATGTCTATATGTCAATTTTTATAATAAACATTAATTATTTAATATCGGTATTTAATTATTTAAAATACTATACTTGATTTAAAATAAAAAAACTACATTAAATTATGTATATATTCATTCGAATTTAATTTGACCATTTGAATTTGCCGCTCTTCCTAGTAACTTTCTGTCGGTAAGTTTCTGTCGAATACTTTTTGTCAGTAATGATGCATTTCCTCAATCCAGTGGTAACAACTCTCGCAGGTCTCGTGCCTGTCACATTTACCTTTTTAACTTTTAGATAAAATTTCGTCGCTCCTCCTCGTAATCGGCATTATTACACTTCAAAACAATCGGCTTTTTCATTGACAATGTCAAATCGCGTTAATACACATCAATTCAAAAAATCCAGGTGAACCGTATTCACGGTAAGAAAAAAGTATACACCGTAACGTCTCTATACCGTCATTACATGCCGAACGGTATAGCCACTAAGCTATGAGTCTATACTTTTTCCTTACTGTCTATACTTTTTTTTTTACTGGGTTTTTTTTTCGTCCATTTGCAAGATATTTTATAATCAAAAATTAAATTCATTACTTAATTTGCTATTTTATAATATACTAGCAGCACCCAAAATTCCCTGAAACTTGACACGGCAAGATTAGGAAACTTCAGTGGCAAGGTTCAGACAAGTTTGTGTCGATGTTTAAATGTCCATACATGAAAAAAATATTCACACGAAACTTTGAGGAAATATTGTACATAAATATTCACGTGCAGTGTTCAGTCAATGTTGTGTGAATATTGAAATTACATTTTCGCCTATAGTTATAAAAATTTCATTTACAAATATAATAAGTATAGATGAATATATTGACACAACATTGACTGAACATTGCACGTAATATTTCCTCAAAGTTTCATGTGAATATTCTTTTCATGTGGACATTTAAACATCAACACAAACTTGTATGAACCTTGCCAATGAAGTTTCCTAACCTTGCCGTGTGATACTCTGTCAAGTTTCAGGAAATTTTGGGTGCTGTGTGGGATATTCTATTGATTATAATATATTTTTATTTTTAACAATTATTGGTTTTTGTTAATTTTTTTTTTTTACAAATAAAAAGTATTATGTGATAAGAATTTATTATTTTTTTTATTATAAGCAAATAATTTTTTAACTGTAAAGAGAAATAAAGACTGTAAAAATATTGTACTTTCAAAATTTTTTAAATTTAATTTCGAAAATATGTAATACAGCAAGACAGTTTAAGCTTTTCTTCATAATTGGAAAAAAAAGACTCACATTATCTGAATTTTAATTATGGTTTAAATTTAAAATTATCAAATCTTTTAATTGATTTAAGTTTCAAATTAAAATTTCCGAATTTAAATTTGTTTAAATTTTAATTGATTTATATTTTTAATTATATCCAAAATTCAATTATTTAAATTCGAATCTGTTGAAATTTTAATTCATCAAATTTTTAATTTAATTAAATTTTATTCGATTAAAATTTTAATTAATTTGAAAACAAAATTTTGCACATTAATTGGTTTTAATTGAGCTGCCGGATCAAAGAAGGGCACATAACTACCCAGATAGTACGTAAGCTTGCAGCAACCTTGCGGCAAGCTTGCCGCGCAATATTGCCATTCTTGCATGGTAAGTTTGCCGCAAGCTTCAAATGTCCCACCTAACCCAAGCTTGCATGGTAAGCTTGCCAAAAGATTGCAGTATAAGGTTACTGCAAGATTGCACAGTAAGCTTGTCGCAAGATTGGTGCAAGGTTGCCAAATAACCTTGCCCAATCAGCAGAGAAGTTTGCATTGAAAATGAGGACTATGCGCACTAGCTATCATAAGCACTTACGGCTGCGCAGTAAATTTTTTTGACCTCCCAAGAACTGGTGCTCAATGTATGTACAAAAATAAATTTCCTCCCCCCCCCAAATTTTTTTGTTATATTCCGCAAGCTTGTGTCAAGCTTGCCATAAGGTTGCTGAGCAAACTTGCATGGCAAGCTTGCTGCAAGTTTGCTGCAACCTTCTGTGCTGATTGGCAAGGTTATTTGGCAACCTTGCACCAATCTTGCGACAAGCTTACCGTGCAAGCTTACGGAGCAATCTTGCGATAATCTTACTGTGCAATCTTGCAGTAACCTTACACTGCAATCTTTCGGCAAGGGTTAGGTGGGACATTTGAAGCTTGCTGCAAGCTTGCCATGCAAGGTTGGCAATATTGCGCGGCAAGCTTACGTGCTATCTGGGTAATGTAATTCAAATGAATTATGTGCCCTTCTTTGATCCTGCAGCTCAATTATTATTTTTTTTATCACATTTTTGTCATCTATTTTTGGATCAATAATTCAAATCTTCACCTATTTTTAAATTTTAATATTTAATTTATACACTAGAGTCAAAAAGTTGAGGCACAAGAATATTCTTCAACGTCGTATTTAACATACCATTTTATTTTATGTATAAAAAAAATACTCATTTAGTATAAATCTCATTTTACATAATTTTAATTGACGATTTACGATAATTAAATTTTACGTCAATGCACAAAGTTTTTATGCCAAATTTTTTTATGAATTTTTATATCGTGTCGTTATAATGTAAGGTGTTATAATTCCAGCTATCTATAAAAACAATATTATTTTCATTATCATTTTTTTTTATTAAATTCAATAAAATTAAAAAATTCTATTATAATTTCAATAAAATGTTCATTTCCATTATTTATATATAAATACTCACATACTGAATACAATTGTGGTTTAAATGAAAGAATCCATTAGCTGTAAATAATAAATGATTGTGTCTCACAGCGAATAAAAATTGTTTAATCTGTAATAAAAAAAAATTATTATTATTATTATTCTTTTATCAAAGAAAATATTATGGAATTTTTATTTAAATAGAAAAAACATTTGTTTTAACAATCAACAAATTATACAAAAATAGTAACCTTATTAAAACAGTCTTCGTCATCTCTTGTTTCAAGTTCAAATAAAATTTTTCCTGTCATCAAAGCCTAAAATTTATCATTTTTTTTTAGGTGTCAAACCACAATTTTTATTTTATAATAGAAATCATTTTTTATTTCATACAGTTTTTTATATTATAATGAAATCAAATATTTTTTTTATTTAATAATCAATTAAATTATTTATTTAATTTATTAAATAAAAAAAACATTTATTTACTGTTTTTAAAAATTTTATAATTCTAAAGAATATAGAAACTTATTTTTTTGTAAAATAAATAAATTAAATAAATACCTCAGCACTGGTCGTGTGACATATATTATTAATTGCTAGAATTTTATTCAAATAGTTTATTGAAATAATCAGTTTCAACCATAACATTTTAGTCTCTTTGTTAAATATATCATAAAGAGAGCTGATATAAAGAAAAATCAAAAAAACAACGGATAATCCAACTGAAATGACTATTTCAATTCTAAAAATATCGTTGACAGATCTTGAAATTCTGACTAAATCTAAGTGTATCATCCTAAAAAATATTTTGATTAGTAAATAATTTTATATATATATATATATATATATATATATATATATATATATATTTATTGAAATATTTTTGAGACGCATGAATAATGTCTAAAATTAATTTTATTCGAATTTTTATTCAATAGAATTTTCTTTTATCCGAATTTTTATTTATTCAAATTATTCTTTTGCAGAATTTCCATTAAAACAAATTTTTATATAACCGAAAATTTTATTTATTTCAATTTATAATTATTTCTTTGAATTATTATTTCACAGAATTTCCATTAAATCGATTTTCTAAATTACAGAATTTTTATATAATAAAAATTATTATTTCGCAGAATTTTTATTTGTCAAAATTTGTATTTGTTCGAATTTTCATATTACAGAATTTTTACTTTTCGAACAAATAGAAATTCTGTTAAATGAATTTTCGGTTAATTAAAAATTCTGTCAAATAATAATTCGAAGAAATATTTTGACTTAAAATAATTAATTAAATAATAAATATTAATAAAAATAATGATAATTTAATTTTAAAAAAATCCTAAAAAATTAATTTTAAACATTATTTATGCGTCTCATATTTTTCATAAGTAAATAAATTTTCCATAACAAGATCAAAAAAAATAAAATTTATTGGTCCAAAAAATAATATGTAAGCATTCGCATGAAAAAGGACAATTTTGAATTTTATGTTCGCATCTCTGAATTTTGATAACCTATTTATTGGACTTATATAAAGTTTATTATTTTGATAAAATATTTAATATCTTAAGATAATTAAATGATTTTACTGTAAATTTCCGATTAATTTTCCTTCATTATTCAATTCTTTCTTAGCTGCTCGAATTAGTCCTACTTGTGTAATGTATAATTTTGTCTTCTGCGGTGAATAAAAATCACATTCTGATAGTTGATCCAGTGCTTCATTCAATTTACAAAACTTTATTTTTATGTAACTAAAAATAATAATTATATATTACATAATTTACTTACAAAATGTATAGAAATATATTTTTTGTTAAATGTTCTGCTTTGGCCTTTGTTTGTTCGACATTTAAAAAAATACGGGACGCATGATTATGTTCCAAAAATCATTTACTTAGAATTTTAATATTACGGAATTTCATTTGTCATAATTATTTTTGAGCTGAATTTTTATTCGTTCGATTTTTCATACTAAAGAATTTTTATTTAACCGAAAAATCATTTAACAGAATTTGTAATTGATAAAATTTCCAAACAAACAAACGACAGAAAGATTTCGGCGCAATTTTTAAAATCAACCAATCACAATTTTATGTATAATTTTTGATTAATTAATTTTACAAATTATGCCGAAATCTTTCTGTCGATTGTTTATTCATCCATTTGCAATTTCGGGCAAATGAAAATTCTATCAATTAGAAATTCTGTTAAATGATTTTTCAGTTAAGTAAAAATTCTGTAGTATGAAAAATCGGTCATTTGGAAATTATAACAAATAATAATTCGAACAAATGAAAATTCATCTGAAAGAAAATTCTATGCAATGAAATTCTACCCAATAAAAATTCTTTAAAATGCATATTATATTGAATAAAAAGTCTAGCAAATAAAAATTCGAACAAATAAAAATTCTGTAAAGTGAATTTTCGATTAGATAAAAATTCTGTAATATAGAAAATCGTTTTGATGAAAATTCTGCAAAATACTGATTCGAACAAATTAAAATTCGTCTCAAAAATAATTATGACAAATAAAATTCCATAGAATTAAAATTCTAACAAATGATTTTTAAAACATAATCCAAAATTTTTGAATTTTATCTTTTAGGACCACCCAATATTTTCTGTAAAATATTACAAAATATTAATATTTTATATTATAAACTGTTCGGTATTTACTCTAATATATTTTATACTCTTTGTTTAAAATTCTATAATTATTATATATAACACTCTTGTAAAATAAAAAGTTTACCTTATTATGTGTATAAATTTGCATTCAATGATGTAGGGTGCTCCTAATACAAAATAAAATGTAACTAATATAGTGCAGATTGATTTAGCATTAAATTTGTTGACATGTTTTGCAAAAAGTATTACGAAAAAAATTATTAAATATACAATAAAAATTGCTGCAGTAATAATGCTCATCCTAAAAGATTTACTATAATTTTCCATTATTCCTATTCTCTTCATTTTTTCATCTACAGAATTAAGTTCTTGCAAACAAAATTTTAATTTCTGTAAAATAATAATATAATAAAGAATAACAATATAAATATGATTTTTTTAAATCTAATATTGATGCTTAAAAAATTTGGACCACACTGTGATTAAAAATCAAAATTTTTAGTTTTCTGGACCTTTTTTTAAATGAATTTTTTACTCAACAGAATTTTTAGGAACTGGATTTTTATTTAGCGCAGAATTTTTATTTTAGAAAATTTCTATTTACCCAAATTTTTATTTAAAAGAATATTTTTCGGGAAATTTGTTTAAATAAATAAATTTAGCAGTAGAATTCTCATTCATACGAATTTTATGTGATTCGAATGTGTCCGAATTTCTAATTCACCGAATTATTATTTGTTCGAAATTGCAAGTGACCGAATAAACAATTGATAACAAGATTTTGGCGCAATTTTTAAAATTAACCAATCAGAAATTAAAAAAGAAAATCGTAATTAGTAAGTTTTATAAATTGAACCAAAATTTTTTTGTAAATTTGTTGTTCAGTTATTTGCAATAAATTCGACAAATGAAAATTCTTCGTTTTAAGAATTCTATCAAATAACAATTCGTGTAAATAAAAATTCGGACAAATTAAAATTCAGTGAATGGGTAATTTATTGACATTTACTTAAATTAGAATTCTATTACATAAAAAGTAAAAGTTGGATGAAGAAAAATTCTGCAAAAATAAATTTATATAAAATATGTTGTTCATAATTAATTAAATTAAGTTAAAAATTCATAAAAATATAAAATAAATTCTGTAAATTGAAAATTTTGCCAAATAAAAATTCGAGACCTAAAAATTCTGTTAAGTAAATATTAGTTTAAAAAAAATTCTATAGTTCGAAAAATGAAAATTCGTCATAATTTTTTTTTTTTTTGACTTTTTAGACGAATTTTAATTTTTCAAAAGAATTTTGTTGGGTATAATTATTTATACAATAAAATTATTTAAAATTACAATTCTAATTACTGATTTTTTTATGGGATACGTTAATATGTGTGAAATTAAAAAAATCTAATTTCATTAACAAAATCAATAAGAAATACGTATAGTAATTTTCCTGATATTTTATTATATTAACACTTTAATTATTTATACTTACTTGAGCATTAATTTTACTTAAAATAATAACAATTAGACACAAAAAATAGCATCCAATGATAAATACGGTGAGTATCAATTTATTTATCATTTGAATCTCCTCAGAATAAATTGTGGAAATTGAAAAATAATTGAAAACAATTGATGCAGTTAGTATAATTATACAAATTATTGAATATATAATACTAAATATTGTTTGAGGATTGCCAAGGGGATATTCAATAATACCAGTTCCCATAATCCAACTGATAATTGTTATTGGTAATAAAGCATCGTTAATATTTTTTGGTACAATCATCGTCTTTCTTTAGTTATTCAAAATAAATTCTGCACTAGTCCTAAAAAAAAAAACTTTTTTATGATATAAAAAATAAAAATAAAGTTTTCATCAAATTTTCAAGTTTTGTGATAAAATTATGCACAATATATATTTTTTTTTTTTTGAATAATTACAATTTGTTAAAAAATTATTTGTGGTCGCGTTTATATGGCTCTTATTTATTTATTTATTTTTTTTCGAGTTAATTTAAATATTCTTCTCCGGCAGTTGAATTGTAACTATTAGTACAAATACTAAAACTGGAGCACACATTTAACTAGAATTAATTATTAAAGAGTTTGACTAATTGTCGAATAATTAATTATTTATATTGTAATTATGTCACGCGATGTAAATTTGTGCCAAGTTTTATTGATCCTTTTCATAAGTTATAATAAAAGAAAAAATATAAATTAATTAACAAAATAAATAAATAGAATAGAAAATAAAATGAATTTTGTTAATATTGATATTATTTCTTCTGGCTAATAAAAATTCACAAGAATGACAAAATTGTCTAAATTTATTATTTTTAAATGATTAATGACAGATTTTTTTTTTTATACAAATTTTTACATAACAAAATTTTCAGCTACCGAATTTTTGTTTTTTAGAATTTTTATTTTACAGTTATTTTCTTTACATGACTTTTTAATTTAAAAGAATTTTAATTTAACAGAATTTTCATTCAATCGAATTTTATGTAATTCGAATTTTTAAATTGACAGAAATTCCAATTTATCGAATTTTTAAGACGCCGAATTTTCATTTGTCCGAGAAAACAATCGACAGAAAGATTTCGGCGCAATTTTTAATATTGACCAATCACGATCTTCTTGATAATTTCTAATTGGTCAATTTTAAAAATTGCGCCGAAATATTTCTGTCGATTGTTTTTCTCTGCAATTTCTAATTTCGGACAAATGAAAATTCGGTGTCTTAAAAATTCGGACCACTTAAAATTCAGTGAAATGGAATTTCTGTCATTTCAAAATTCTAATCACATAAAATTCGATTAAATGGGAATTCTGTTAAATTAAAATTCTCTTAAGTAAAAAGTCATTTTAATTAAATGACTATAAAATTAAAATTCTGTCAAACAAAAATTCAAACAAATAACAATTCTGTGAAGTGGATTTTCGATTGCATAAAAATTCTGTAATATAGAAAATCGTTTTAATGAAAATTCTGCAAAATACGAATTCGAACAAATAAAAATTCGGCTCAAAAAAGAATGATGACAAATGAAATTCCATAAAATAAAAATTCTAACTAATGATTTTTAGAACATAATCGTGCGTCCCTAAAATTCTTTAAAATGAAAATTTTAATTAATAATTTTTATTGGATAATTCATGCGTCTTAAAACATGAGTGATTTGGAAAGAACTTGGTATGTTTATTGACAAAATTGAATTCCTTTCAAGAAATTTATTGATTTTGTGGTAGTGCAAATATTTTGAAATTATAAGATGACAAAATAGTTTATGCGTTCACTTAGAAGCAAACATAAACATTTTTTTAAAAAATTATTTTACGTAAACATCCTTTTTTATTCGTTCATATTTTTAAATAAATTTTTTCTATTTTTTAAATAAAAAATAAAATATCTGAAAGTCACGCAAAATAATATTACACTTTAAATATACTCTTATAAAAATATATTTCTAAGTAGAATAATTATGAGGAATTTGTAAAATGACATTGAAATATTTTTAAACGTATTTATAGTTTCTTACAATTTATAATATTTTACCTAAGCATACTATTAATTATTATAGTTTTCAAAAAAAAAAAATTTTTTTTATATTTTACTAAAACAGTAATATTATAGAAGAATAAAAATATTACTTCACTTCGGGAATTAAGCAGTCAAGTATTTTTATGATAAAAAAAAATTTTTAATTTAATGAAAAAAAAATCTCCTGTCATATATATATAACGAAATTATACTTATATATAAATATATGTTCTTATACTATAATGAACGGTCCTTAATTACAAACATTATGCAATATACAAATTGCAACATTAAAAAAAAAAATTTAACAGGGAAATGACTCTTAATTAAGATGGTAATCTATTTTTCACAACGAAATATGTTGAACAAAAACCGGTCTTTTTTTCTTCACACACTTTATAGAAATAATTTTATTTATTTTTGTGAAAATGAAAAAAAAAATCGGGTGAATCACTAATTAAAAACAAAACAAAAAATATTCAAAATAATGTCTTAGTTTTGTATCAGTGTGTCTCAACATGTGTTTGTAATTCTAAAAGTGTGGAGAATGTTTTTTCACACAATAAACAAATATGTGAACTTTCATTGTGAATATCCAAATGATCAGCAAGTTCATTTTCAGTTGAAAATACTTCATCGCAAATTGTGCACGAATAATTGTTTCTCTCTTTTTCCCATACCATGGCGTCTGATTCTTCATCGTGATTTTCCTTGTGCATTTCAAGTATTGATTTTGATGAAAATACCTCGGGACATTGATCACAATAATATTTATAATCTTTTTGTTTTACACCATCAGTTATGCTAATGAGATTTGGATTATCATCTCCGTCGTCAAACAAATGATTTTCAACATGTGTACTTAATGCATCTTCTGATTCAAGTGATTCACTGCAAATCGCACATTGATAATGTTCCTTTGAACTTTGTTCATCTTCGCTTATATCATCGCAATGTTGTTGAAGATGATCTTTCATAACTTCTTCATCACTGAATTTTTTATCGCACACAAAACATGTATAACCCTCCTGAAAAAAACAGAAAAAATTTTCATTTATTAATCGTAACACTTTTTAAATGTCAACAAATTTTATTTGCGATAGATCGACATTAAATTTAATTCAAAAATTTTTGTACTTCAATATTTTCTTGCGACAATTCATTTCGTTTATGGGTAATTCTCCGCGTAGCGCACAACTTGCTTTTTTTCATGTTGTGAAAGAAAAACTCGAGAAAAATCACAAATAATATTCACATAATATTTCGATTCCAATGTAAAAAGATAATTTCTGTGACTACAAACAAAAACCAATAGATATTTTTGTATTTAACATTATAATTTTTCGTGAAAAGTGGTTTTTAAGGCTGAAAACGTCAAAATTTCATCTGTCCCCACAGGATGTTTAAACAAAAAAGTTAATATTTTTAGCAATGTACACTAATAAATACAATTTCTGTTGCTATTTTAGTATTGTATATTGTAGTGGAATTGAATAAAAAAAACGTTTGATCAAAAAAATAATTATTTTCTTTTTTTTTTTTTTGCTATTTATACTTGACTGCACTTTTGTGTGTTATTCTGCGTTTTATTATTAAACATTGAATTATTTAAATAAAAGTCAAATGTTAATATAGTTCTACTTCAGTAACAGCAAAAGTTATATTCCTTAAGTTGATCCACGAAGAAGATAATCAATTTTCTAATTGATTTATCCCTTTTTTTACAAATTTTAAGATTCAAATTTGTACAGGGCATCATAAAATCGTCTCCACCGGCATCCACCGACCCTTCAATATTATTTAAAAAAATAGAATATAATTAAATAATAAAGGTGAAATAAAGTGTAGTTATATTATTTTAGTCTATATATATATATGTGAAACATATGAAACCGATTAAAAATAAATGATAATTTAAAAAAAAAAAAAAAAAAAAAATTATTAACATCAGTTCCACCGGTTCGACCGACCCCAGCGTCACCACCCGCCAAAAAATTTCGACCGCCACTAGTCCAAGTTTAATACACAATGAAACAAACGAAATTCAAAATATTTATTATAAACTATCACAGCTCCGGTAAGTTTACTATAACTTACCAAATAAATTTCTATACATTACCGCATAAATTTCCATAAATTACCAAAATAAAATTTTTAATTGTCGTTCGCGCTATATATATTTTTGTAAATTACCACGAAATTTTTTATAAATTACCGAAATTAAAATCTTTAATTGCGATTTATGCTTTACATATTTTTATGAATTATAGCCAAAATTTCTATAAATTACCGCATAAATTTCCATAAATTACCTCGAAAATTTCCGTAAATTACCGAAATAAAAATTTTTAATTGTCGTTCGCGCTATATATATTTTTGTGAATTACCCCCCAAAAATTTCCATAAACATTTAAAATCAAATTTCAACTATTTTAAAGAATTCAACAAGCAAAGAATTTTTTTTTATTTTGTTTAAAAAAAATTAAAAAATTATAAAAAATTTTTCCGGCCCACCATGGATATTTATTTTTTGACACTTTATCTTCAAAAATATGTATTGATATTTATCATTTCGATAAAAAAATATTTTTAAAGTTTCAGACACCAAATCGTGCGCTACGCGGAGAATCACCCTTATAAAGAATAAATGTAATTTTAAGTGTTACGCTTGAGTTATTTATTTATACAACTTAAAAAAGTGAATATTCAGAAAAATAAAAATTCAAGAAATGAATAATTCTGATGAAAATTTTTTAAATTCTATTAAATTATAATTTAGTTATAATAGAAATTCTTTGATATGAAAATTAGTTTCATTATAAATTCTCTTTATAAAATTCTGCTAAATAAAAATTCAATAGTTTTTACTTCCGACATCATAAAAATTCCAACTGATCTAATGGGGGGGAAATATTATTACAAATGACACATAGAACGTTCGAATTAGAATAAAAAAATAAAATACTTACATGTTTTTTCGAAACATTTGTTTTGGTATTATCTAATTTGCCATCAAGCGTTCTCTTCTCAAGTCCAGTTACATTTACATCTTGTTCTTTACTTTTTATACTTTTTGATTTTGACGATTTTTCAAAATCGGGCCTATTGTGAGTTTGTAAATGATTAATAAGTGACTGCTCTGATATAAATCTAACATTACATTCACTGCATTCAAATGTGGATTTTAAATCATCATGTTCAGATAAATGATCGACGAGTTGCATTTCGGAATTGAATTTTTTATCACAAACAGTACACTTGTGAACTCGTAGATTTGTAAATACTTGTGAATCACTATGATGAGTCTTTAAATGATTAAGATATGATTTCTCTGTAACATAACTCATTCCACAATAGTTGCACTTGTGTTGTTCAGAACAAATGTGTGACTTAACAAATCGTGCGGGAACAATTTCATGACATCGTTTACATCTCATTAATTTTTCACGATTTTTGTGTGAAGGATCTTGATGATATTTCATATGTTCATCGGCATCTTTTTTTGTAATAAATATTCGATTGCAAATTCCGCATCTGTAACAGGAAACATGAAGATTATTAACGAATATAAACAAATCGTTTACATGTAAAACAGTTGAAAATATTTTTTAAATACAATTAAAAAAATTAATTCTTACCTATGATTTAATCCATGCTTCTGGAAAGTTTTTAAAGCGTTTTGACCTTTAGGAGTTGTTAAATCCTTATTGTTAAAGCTTTCCATCGTATTTAGATCTTGTAATTCTTGATGTGTTGTTGTATCACACTCGACAGTTTCAACTTTTTGTTTTACAATTCTCTTGGGTTTTTCTTTCTTTACAATTTCAATTTCTGATCGTTTGTCCTCGCAACTAATGTTTGTATCTTCTATAGACTGTAAACATGTTATTTTCTCCTTTAAATTCTTGTATAATTTTGCATTTTCTTGTAAAACTTCAACATTATTAATTTTATATGGAACATTTGAAACATCAAGCCGATCAAGCGTTAATTTAGGTTGAAAAACGGAAGAATGCATAGCGGCTTTAATAAATTCCAAAGATACCGATTTACTAACTTCAATATCATCTCTAGAATCCAATTCATTTTTTTGTACTGAGGTCTCATAATTTTTCTTTATTGCCTTCACTACGATTGTTTTCAATTGTTGATCGAGATTATCATAGGAACCTTTATATTTGTCTTTGAGATCATCTAAGAGATTTGAGTCGGAAAATATTTTATTTTTCATATCCTTCTCAATAAAACTTGCTAAATCAACTTGAACACGTTGAAGTGCTTCAAATTCAGTTCCTTCAATTTCAATATGTAAACATTTTTCTATTTTATCTTTATTCACATTAGAAAGTGGACTAATTCTCTTAAGTTGAACTGCATCAATTATATCAGTATTTTCAAGTTTCTCTTGATCTACCGTATCGTGGAAAACTTTATCAAAATGCGCTGGTTCCGAAACAGCAAGAGTTGATGTCACAATATAAGTGGAATCTCCAATTTTAAGTTCGGATTTAACTGTGCGTGGTGGTATAGAGACATTCTCCTTTTCTGTTTCTCTATCATCAGTTTCTTTAATTTTACTTTTATCCATGTCTTTTACTTTATCAATTGATTTACGATTTTTAACTTTGACTTCATCCCCAATTGACTTTCGAGAACGAAGTACTCTTTTAGTATCAGAATCGGATTCTTTTTTAAAGTCATTCATATTAGTTTCCAAATTCTTTAATGCGCGGGCAATTTTTTTCTGTTTTTCATCTTCTTTATCGGCATTTGATTTGGCACGTGCTTTTTGAACGGGTGATAATTGATTATCAGATGCACCAGAATCTGTATCTGTATTATTGCCAGTGGCAGCAATTAAAGCCTTTTTACGAGCATCCCAACGACGTGCGTATGCTCTTCGCCTCTCAGATGTTCTACCACGACGTGCAATTTGACGATATTGTGGAAAGAATGATGGTTTCGATGGTGAACTAAAATTATTTTCTATTTCTTTTTCTGTATTAAAATTTGTTGATTTTTTCACTGGCGACAATGATGGTTTCATATCAATTTCCTTTGAATGATTATTATCCTCAAAAATTGAATCCATAGCCAGTGGCGATAAATTGTTGACCTTATTCTTTTTCTGTAAATGAAAAAAAAAATGTTATTAATTTTAAGATAAAAAAAATTTATGCGTACAATTATTATCAGAAATATTACACGTGATAATTATACTCTGGCTCAAGAAAGAAAAAAGTAAGTAAAATAAACGATTTATTTTAAGTAAATAATTTTAAGATTATGGCTTGATAATTGTGCTGGGCAAATTAAAAATTGGACCCTGTTCACATTTCTAGTTTATACTATCAATTCCGAAGGGAAAGCTAGTCAAGAAATAGTTTTAAAATACTTTGAGCCGGTTTCCACCATCAGGTGGAGAAGTCTATAGAAAGTATGCACAACCTTGATGATTTTAATGACTTTCAAGAAGCTGTACAGTCTGCTAACTCTGAAAAATTTAAAGTTATAAATATGAACTATAATAATTTTTTCGCCTCAAGAACTAAATTTTCTAAATAGTAAAACTTCTAAAACAATAACAAGACCACAACGAAATGATAAACCTTGCGGTGTATCTGAAGAAAAAAAAGAAGTCAATTGTTTCTGAACTTTGTCCATTAATGGCAGAAAGTCGTCGCCGGTACTGGATGGAAATTACGAGTTAAAAAATGTAATTGATTTGGTAACTGATGTTGAATATTAAAAATCTTATAACAGCAAGATGTTTTCATCAATAAGCAAACTTTGTATAATGTGCAAGAGTGCATTTAAAAAAAACATTGCTTTTATTTCCAATTAAAATTATCTATCTAGAAAAATATATGTAGTCTCAAAACTCTTTAATTACTTAGAAATTGTTACTACAAAGTATATTAAATTAAAATATAATGAAAGAGTCTTATATTTTATGTAAATTATATTAAAATAATAAATTATGCTACTCTTGTTGAGACGACAAAATTGAGGTCCAGAGTTAAAACATGGTATACCTTATTTTTTGACTAATTTTACTGGACTAAAAACTAAAACTCAAAAACTAATTTTAAATTCTCCCCCTGTTCGTCACGTGTTTTTAACCAACCTATCACAAACTTAGAAATCCTGGCCAAACTATATTATTAAATTCAAGAGCGCCATTATATTTAATAGTGTAACGAAGTGTTTCGTTAGAACTAAGAATCCCATGGAAATAAAAATGAATTTCTGAGTTTGGTGTCCAGCGAGAGATAAGGATGTCTTTCCTTCTCTTCTCGTATAGGTTTGTCTCGTTTCTCCTTTTTCTTTCGTTCAACGTTCGGAAGGTGTGACTATTATCATGTCTTGTTAGAAATGATTACGCGCATGATTAATAGGCGCTTAGAGTCACGTGGTCTACGTCCCTTCCAGTTTTCCCTTTAGGTGACGTCCAGTTGGGCGCGACGAGGATGGACGTATGCGGATTTCCGGACTACCAAGAAGGATGTACTAAATTCTAGGAAAAGCGGGCCTTATTCCGAGAATTGGGATTTTAGTATTTTCCTTGTCTGGCTGACACCATTATTACTAGTCGTGTTTTTCTTAGAAATCTATTCAGTTATAATATATTTTTATTTTTTATAAGTTAGTGTAGTTGTTAATTTTTATTTAAATAAATTTGAGTTTTTGTTATTAAATTGTGTGCGATCTATTTTATTTTATTATTTGCATCATTGGGTCAACATTGTCGGAGATTACTAACAGTCGGCGTCTTATCAGCATCGTTGGCGCCAAGCGGTCTCGCTAAGGTTGGTTATCTCAAAAAGCAAGAAGGCGTTGTTTCGAACGGGTTTCACATCGCCCTATCCTTGGCAGGATTCCCCCTTAGATTTGGTGTATTTTAAGATTTTTTGAAGAGTATTCCATTTTGGGAAAAGATGTGTAATTGTTCTAAAATTTTTAGCGATTTTTAAAATATTATTTTCAATTAATAATTCCCCATTACAATAGTTATAGAAAATTCACAAGGTCATACGTAAAATGGTTTCTAGATGTATACTTATGAAGGAATGTAAAGAAAACAAATAATGATTTATAGATGTTGTAACAATTATAATCGTTTACGTTTTCTCAAATTAAAGTAAAATACGTCGATTCTTGCGACCCTGAAATATTATGTATTATATAATTATTTTTGTGAATTCAAATTGAATCTCGCGCGCCTACCGCCTGGTGGTTATATGTAATTGAAGATTTTTTTGTGCGAATTAAAGAATATTTTAATAATTGCTGTGTATATTTTACTATTGTTGTTTTGTACGTTAAACTTCCTTTTGCATTATTTGTCAAGACCGCCGATAATCAAGATTTTATTCTGGTAAGTTTGATCAGTCATATTATTTCTTATAAGTCGACGCCCCCGATGATGAAGTGTTAATTCAAAATCTAGAGCAATAAAGTGTTAACATAGTAATTTGTCCTATATAGTGTCTATTCGTTTGTTTGTGCGATATAGTATCAATTGAGTTTAATAAAATGTTAATTTAATTTTTAATTCAATATGATGCTTATTTAAATAATTGTGCAATATAATTTTAATTCTAACTTTTACACAATTGAAGGTTAAATCACTATTTAAAATATTATTTTCTTTATAATTTTAGGAATAAAAAATGAAACATTTAAGAGAACCAACTTTAATGTAAAATTTTGAAATTACCCAAGTAGCACGGAATATTGCTAGAATGTCAATGTGATATTAAGTAGGAATATTCCTGTGAGATTCAGACGATATCATAATGTCCGCTTCACGCGGACATTTCACAGTGATATTCCTGTGATATTCGCGTGACGTTCGTATGATACTGAGGGAATATTCCCGTGAAATTTGTGTGATATTAATGGAATATCCCTGTGATATTGAGTATTCCACTCAATAGAGTGAGTATTCCTCTGATATTGAGGGAATGATGAAATAATTTATAAAATTCTGTTTTTTTCCATTTATTAATTTTTTTATTTAAATATTCAAAACAATCAAAACAAACAACATTTTCGAATTTTATAAATTACAGGAATATTCCCTCAATATCAGAGGAATATTCCACTCAATATCACAGGGATATTCCATTAATATCACACAAATTTCACGGGAATATTTCCTCAGTATCATACGAATGTCACGCGAATATCACAGGAATATCACCGTGGAATGTCCGCGTGAAGCTTACATTATGATATCGACTGAATGTCACAGGAATATTCCCACTTGATATCACCTTGACATTCCAGCAATATTCCGTGTTACTTGGGTAAATAAGAGTAAGACTGACTTAGAGTTTTTATGTCATTATTGAAATTAATTGTAGAATCGATGTTTTTTGAATATATAGCATAAATATCATGTGGTCACCCATATACTCCTCAGCTGCCAATATGGTCATTGAAGATTTTGAAAGTAACATTTTACAAAAATTTAAATTCAAAATAATATTTTATTTCAGATATATCGATGATACATTAATCTGTGCACCAACTGATGAAATATTCAATGTTTTCAATTCAGCAGATACAAAATTAAAACTCACAATTGAATTACCAATTAATATTAGAATTTCTTTTCTAGACTCAGCCTTAATAGTAGAAAATAATAGGGCTGAAATATTTAAAGTTGCTTGATTGCATTTCATTGATTTTAAACAGTTTAGATAAATTAGCACATCCATCACATGGATGAAAACTGTGTCCAGTAGTTAAAAACTTTTGATGTACTTCGTTGAAATATTTCAATTTAACCAAATAGTGATATAAGGTTGTTCGCCAATTGTTGTTCTGACCAACTCAACGATCATTCCACACGATAAGCTTCCTTTCTTCATTATTTTTAAGAACAGGATAATTATCTAGAATGTATTTCAAAAAGCAGGAGGCAATTTCAGCTGATCCGCGTTTAGCAATGCATTCAGTCCACAGATTCATAACTGCTTCACCAGACTGAAAATTATGAATCGCAAAATTATAGGTTGAATATTGTCTTTGATAAAACATATTGGAATGAGAAAGTGTAGAACACAATAAGACTTGTTGTAAGTCAACGCAGAGTGTAACGACGTTGTTATCGATTGTAGCTCTCGAACAGTCTTCTTTTAAAATTTCGTATGATTTTTCTACCTTTACGTCTTTTCTTTTCTCGAAATCCTCTAGTGAGGATGCGGCGATTTGTTGTGCATGCAATAAGTCACATTGTCTACAAGTGTCTGTTCTAGAATGCCCAAATTCTAAATAAAAATCATTTTAAAAATCTTGCAATTCAAAGTAGTTTCGTCAATTGCATGCAGTCTCGATTTGTGTTGGCCACGGTTGTCTTTTAGGGTAACAATTCCATCTTTCAATTTAGTTTTCAGAGTTGGAATGCGTCTGTAAGATATTGAATACGTGTGAATTAGTGTTTTTTACAGACCGGCTTCCCTCTAAGATTATATTTGAAGGAGACGTTTTTTCGTGATGTGAGATTTATTTGGCCCTTCTTTCTTCTTTTAGTCTTGCACAGTTTTATACAGCCACATAGAATCAAAGGGTGCTCGTGATAGAAACCCCCGTAAAAAGGTTCATAATGTTTTAATTTTTCTTGTAATGTTATCTCAATGCACATTTTGCGGTTATGACATTCTTACATAAACATAAAGTTAGTTGTAAATAAAATTAACAATTTGTTTTTTTCTGCCATAGATCATTATTCCAACCAAAGTATGTGATGAAAAATATAAAATTTCACATTTTTTAGAATTTATTTGCAAATTTTAATCACTTCTACGTGTATATTGTGTAACAAACCAGTTTGTTACTTAAATATTATTCGCTGCCCTTCCGGGTGATTTTCCCAAATAATCTATAATTTGAATTTAAACAGTTTTCCCGCGCTACTACCAACTTAAATATGCTTGAGTGGTACGCGTGAAAAATTAGCAAACGACAGAGGCACATGTATCTGGCCACCGGAAATTCATATTCAGAGAGAGAATAGCGTTCTCTTAGTTAAGTGGTGCTAATCAATATATATTGTTAATCGTCGTCTCTGCGCAATTAAAATAATTATCATTGGAATTATAAAAGAGAATTAAAATAAAT